TCTGGTGAAGCCTCTCACCACTCCCACACCTCTGGCCTGTTCTGTATGCATAAATAAATAAATAAATAAATCTTTCTTAAAAAAAAGTTATAGTAACCTAAACTCAATATTATTAAATGGAAAAGGTGCTAACTAGAAAATTGTACCCCGAGAAAATCCATGAGCACTGCACCTTGAAAATTCTTATTGAGTTGTGCAGAGACTTTCCAATAAAGACTTGACATGGTCAAAAAGAAATAATGTTTGTTTCTGGAAGCAGAATATTGAAGTGAGATATAACAGCTTTCAGGACTTAAGAAATTCATGAACTATGAACAATGTCAGATTACATGAAATTTTGCCTTCAAGGAAACCTGTAAAGTATTACCAGTGAACTTTAATTCTACAGTAGGGAACCACCTAGTCATGGAATTAAACATGTAAGTTGATTTTTTCACAACGAAAGCAGTTAATGGGAAAACAAAAAGACCCTGGAGAAGTTGGCTTTGACTATTGATTTACAAGTCCTGATTTTTCTCCCAAATAGTTTAAAATTTTTTGTTAAAGATTTATTTATCTATGCTTACAGAACTGGGGTACAGACCATATGTGTGAGAGGATTCACCAGAGACAGAGTGGGGAGCAGAACAGGCAGATCTACTGAAATACACTGCTGAGGGGAGCAGTGAGCGGGTCAGGAGAGGTCTGCCACGCCATGTGGGCCATCTCCCTTGCTGGCAATTGAACTCCTCCTGCAGTGGCTTCAGAGAGCTTAATAATGCAGTGCTTTAACCTATTGCACCACCAGAGAAATGTGTTTTCAAAGAGTAGAATGTAATAAAGAGACTTAGAACACATTTATGAGAGATTAGGCACCATAAAAAAATAATGAAGGGAAAAAGAAATAATGAGGGGACATGGGTACTTGAAAGTAAAGTTCATAGGAGATGAAACCCCTCGTAATAAACTAATACTCTCCAGAAGACAGCTGAAATGTCAGAAGGCTGAGCTAATTGAAATTAAAGACCAGTTAATCGTTTTTTATATTCTGGTATCTTGACAGACAGGCACTTTAGATAGGTTAAATGTTCATCAGTAAGAATTAAATACAGCTTAAAGTAACAGAAAAAACAAAAATATCAAAATACAGCTTTATTCTTCATTTATATAAGAGAAGTCTAGAGGCAGAGTAGATCACCACAAGGTTATCATGGAGCCAAGTTTGTCCACTGTACTTGTGCACAATTCTTAGCAGAATTAGCAGACTGCACATCTCTTAGCAGTCCAAGATGGCTGCTAAAGTGCTGGTTACCACGTCCACATTCCAAGCAAAAGATGAAGGAAAGAAAAGGGTGAAATATTACCTTTTTAAAAAAATCTCCTAGGGCCTCTTCCCAGTGGTACAACTGGTTAAGTCACAGCACTATGAAGCTCTCTGAAACCACTGCAGCCAGTTTTATCCCTGGCCAGGAGGCTGATCTGTGGAGCGGCAGATCTCTCCTGGCCTACCTGGTTCTCCCCTCAGCAGTGTATTTCAGTCAGTCGGTCTGTTCTGCTACCCACTCTGTCTCTGGTGAATCCTGTTACTCCACCACACATACCTCTGGCCTGTACCCCAGTTCTGTAAGCAAAATAAATAAATCTTTAAAAAAAAAATGTCCCAGGATTGATCATCTAACACTGAGTAGAAAGTAGAACACTGGCCACACCTCTATGTAACTGGGAGGGAAAAGAAACAATTTGAAGTCAAAGCCCATGTTCATAACCAACTTCAAAGAGAAGTCTTAGTGTCTTAGAGGAAAAAGTACACCTGTTGCGTTGAACATTTAGAATCAGACTGCACTAAAAACTGGCAGAAGGGAATTGTTTGTATTCAAATGAAGAGGAAATATGTGTGATTCCAACATCAGAAACTCTTAAAATGAATATAAGAAAGAGTCAGGAAGTCGTGCTTCGTTGACAGTAGTGAAAAGTTAGAGAGGATTAAACTGAAATTGATTGACAATGAAGGATTCACCATGTAAAGGGGTCATAATGAAAGTAGTTAATGTGAAAACAAAAAGACCCTGTGCTCTCTAATCTGACTGCTGACTTTTCCTAAATGATAAATTTTAGATCATTTAACAGCTGATAGACTTAAATTATCTGAAAGTTGTCGCATTTGGCAACCCCATAGTGATAAAGAAAGCAACAGGAGTCTTGGTGTGGGCTGTAGGATGCGGATGCTGCTTCATGCAGCAGACTGCTCAAGAGTAAGATCTTGGCCTTTTTATTGACAGAAAAGGGGGGAGGTCAAAGTGAACACTGGTTTTGGGGGCTTTAGGGAGGGTGAGTATATACCCAACTTCTACTGATGGCTCTAATTTTATTAACAAGGCCATCAAGTCCACTGATCAGTCCCTGGGGCAAAGTACATCAGTATTGCCCCAGGGCGATCAAGCATCTTGCTCTTTACTGTAAAGGAACCTTGTACATTACACCCACTGAAAGCAAGCAAATCATGTAATGGTAGGTATTGAATTCTTTCTTTAAAGAGGGTTTTTTTTGTTTGTTTGTTTGTTTTTGGTATGAGAGCAATTTTTTGTGTTTAGTTTTGTTTTCTGAGATGATGTAACAATCGCTAGTGTTGAATTTGTTTAAAGCATACCAGTAGACATGATCTAAGTGTTTGGAGCATTTAGTCTGCATTGGTTCAGAGGGAATCACATTAAAAATACCGGGGCCAGGTCCTCCCTGGTGGCACAATAGGTTAATGAGGCTATTGAAGCCACTGTTGCAAGAGTTCTGTCAGGGAGCTGACATACATGGTGTAGCAGATTTCTCTGGACCCGCCGGCTACTACCCTCAGCAGTGTATTTCAGTCAATCTGCCTATTCTCTCTCCACCCTATTGCTGGTGAATCCTCTCACCACCAACACCACCACCCCCAACACACACACACACACACACACTCAACACCTCTGGCCTGTACCCCTGTCCCGTATGTGTAAATAAATAAATCTTTTTAAAAATATATGGGGGCCTCCCTGGTGGAACAGGGGTTAAAGTATAAGCCCTGTCAAGCTATTACCTGCCACTTTGTCCTGAGTTCAAGCCACAAGGCACAGCAGACCTCTCCTGTCTCTTCAGCTGTACCCCTAAGTATTGTATTTCAGTAGATCCTTCTGTTCTGCTCCCCACTTTGTCTCTGCTGAATCCTCTCAACACCTGCATCTCTAACCTACATTCTAGTGCTTGTATGCATAAAATTAATAAAGATAAAATCTTTTTTGAAGGCACATTAAAAATAGTAAAAGTTTGCACATTTTTACTCCACAAATTGGGATTTCAGTAACTATCCTTAATACCAGTTTCTTAAAGCCCCCACTTAAAAATAAAGAACAAAACAATAATGACTACAACAAAGCCCTACCTATCTGAAATAGGTTATTTGTTCAAGGGAGCTCTGAATTCCAGCGGCCATAGCTAATTGGCTAATGGATTCCAGGCAGTGGGCTATTGGATTCCAAGTCAAAAACAGGTAACTCAGAAAAAGCAGAGTATAGGACTGCTCACTTCCTTATTTACTGATACAACAGCATAAGTAAGCTTATAAAAATGAGTTGTGTTGTGTATTGTCAAAACTCTTAAGAAGAGTCCAGAACTCAAGGTTACTTGTTGCTGGTAATAAGAAACCTTCAGATTTAAAAGTCAGTACCTACAAAGTCAGAAGTGTTAATGGTATGTTTGAGTATTTAAAAAGTGAAGTGACTGAAACATAGTAAGTCAGGAAAAAAGGGGCAAAAGAAGAAATCGCAGAAGAAAGCTGGGTTTGGGAAGTTGTGTCATCTTAAAAGCCTCAAAGGGAATAATTTTAGAAGAGGAGGAGAGTGAGCAGGTGTCTTCTGCAAAGGTTCTACTGGCTGCACTATAGGAAATTGTTCAATTCAAGTAGGACAAGAGGGAAGTGAGACACCAGGTATGAGGAGAATGATCATTCTCCATCTATCCAGTCTCAACAAATGAACCCAGTTCCACCTAATTCTGCAAGCGTGCAGAGCAGAGGAGTCATCCTTCAGTTGACTTTACTATCACCACAAAAGAAATCAGTCACCAATTCCCATGGGTTTTATTTCCTAAAAATCAGTTCCTTAAAGGAACAAAATTTGTATGTGGACCCTTATATTTACATCTGAGAAATCATCTCCTATATGCCTGGATAGTCTTTCTAAAAGATCGTGTATCTTGTGTACAGATAACCAGGATTTTCTTTTTCTCTATTCCCATCTTACTCCATTGCCACAGGACTTTTACATATGCTGTACTGTTTTCTGAAACAGCCTTCACGTTTCAGCTCCACCATCAAAGTTCCTCAAGGAAGACTTTCTCTCCCAGTTCCTAACTTCCGCCCACTCCCCCACCCCCACCACCTTATCAAGCCTCCCTCTCTTTCTGGTCTCTTCTTCATGGTACAAATAAGTATTTATGGAAGCTTTTAAGATTCCTTCCTGGCTGTCCTGCAAGCTTCGTGAAGGACGGTATTAGCTATGTTCTATTCATCAATTTATGTTAGCCCCTATCACAATGTGTGCAGAAGACTGTCAATAAATGAGGACTCACTGAATGAATGAAACCCCACATTTTGTGGAGTTTAAGTTTCACGTTAGCTATGTCGCTATACAGAACCATTAAAATGAATTTTTGTGCCAAGGGAAGATGAAACTGCAGAACAGTCCTTTTCTCTGAAACTAGAACAAGAATAAAGCTCCCCCTCCCTCCAGCACCCCCACCCCCCACTCCACTGACAGGCATTGCGCATGCGCCATGTGTCAATTCCGCAACTCTTGAAGACCCCGTAGCAACCTTTGCGCCTGCTCGCTTTAGGGCTCCACAACCAGAAGGCGGGTTCCTAGGAAAAGGAAATGGTCGCTGCGCCTGCGTCTCTCCCTCTAGGGCGCAGACTGGCTGCGCAGGCGCACAGGTACCATTTTGACCGTAAACATCCTGCCGATTTGAACCGAGGATTGGGCGGCAGGAAGAGCCGCGGCGTAACGGCAGCCATCTTGTTTGTTTGAGTGAATCGGAAAGGAGGCGGCGGCTGTGGCGGCCTCGAGAGCGGCTCCCAAGCTACACCTTACAAGGGCTCCCCCCTTTCCCCGCCCCCTCCCCCAACCCTTTTCCCCTCCCCAGGCCACCCAGCCCGCCTAATTCCCGGCGGAGAATAAGGTAAGATATTCGGCCGACCCCCTCTGATCCTGCTCCCTCCCCCCCACCCTTCCTGGCCGTCTTGCCTTCGGGGAGCGGGACCCCCCTGGGGTGCTAGGCAGGAGAGCGAGGGAACTGGTGGCACCCGCCGCGCCCCGGAATGGAGCCCGGACTGCCACCCCCGGGACTCCGGAGCGGCGGCGGCGCCTGCACAGGCCCCTTCGCCCCGGGCCCGCCCTCGGCTGGGACCCGCGCAGCCTGGGCCGCGACATTGCCTGTTGGCTAACAAACGCGGCTCCTCCAGTCCGAGGCCGAAGAGCCGTCACTGCGCCCGGCCCTCGGGGAGCCGCGTCTCCCGGGAGCAGAGGAAAGCCGGTGCCGCGGAGGGAGGGGAGGAGGTTTGAACGAGCCCGCTCTGGGCACCGGGCCGCCTACTCCCCGGTGAAAATGGCTGTCTGGGAAGACGCGGGATTCGCGGCGGGAGGCGGCGGCCCTGGGCCCGCGGTGCGGGCGCGGGAGTGAGCGAGGGACGGAGGGGCGGCCGCAGCCCGCCGAGCTGGGGTGCGGAGGTCGGATGCACGCGGGCCCGGCCTTGGCGCCCAAGACGAGGCCGGAGGGCGGCGGCCGGCCCCTGGCCGGGGAGTGCTGCTGCACCCCCCCCCCCCCCACGTCCTTTGTAAAGAGGAAATTTTACGTTGGGAATGAAAAACACCATTGAAAACGAGACCCTGGGTTTCTGGTTTTAAGAATCAGCAGAAGTGCCCCCCACCCCGGACTTTCCTAATGATTGAGGATATTGCCGGGATCTTAACTGATTAAGGATATTGTGACATCGAGACGCTTCAGGAGGTGTGTTTCTCCCCAGTGCTTGTCTTATTTTTTCCTCCCTGGGAGGCTTGGCGAGTGATGGGCTGTGAGCGTGTGCGGTGACACTGGCCAGTTGTAGTGCCTGCCAGACTTAGCGGACTAATTCTAATTTGAAAAAAGGAAACGCTGGAGGGTTGATTTGGCCTCCCGATGATTTGTTAAGCTGATTTCTAGGTTCAGAAACGCACCTGGATTTTCAGTGGTTTCTGGGGAAAGGCTGTGTTTATCAGCTTCTCTTTGCAAGAGAAAGTTAATATTTGTCCTCATGCTGTACAGGATGATCATTGATTTCAAAGGGGGGGGAGTTTCTATTTTTTTAACAATGAATGAAAATGCCGTTGAACCATGTGTGTTTGCAGAATTTTGGAGAAGGGCAGAAGTTTTCCACTGTTGGGGAGTTACTGAATTTCTGTGCTTAATGTTGGAGGCAACGGATACATTTCAAAATACATCGAATGAGAACATGTGCTATGACCTGTGATTTAGCTAAGAGCATGTAGATGATTGAGGTGATCTCAGTGCATAACTAAGAACTCGGTGCTTTTTATACACAAGTCAAGAATTACAGTGTATACAACAATCTTTTACTTTTTCTTAATGGTTATAAAGGCAACTTGTGTATTACAGAAGTTTTTTGCTTTGAGTGGTTTAAGTTTTAGAAAGTTGAACAGTTCGTTTCTGATTAAAGTACTGCTTATCGGAACACAAATTCCTAGAAATTGTATTTTGTGTAATTTGGTACACACGGGAAATTTCTAATTCTTAAATAGATCGTGTATTTTTGCTTAAATGTCATGTCAGAATGTTTGGCATAATTGTCATGCCGACTGGTATGTGCTCTGCTAGGAGATTATTTTTCAAAGTTACTTGCATCTATAAAAGTTCTTTGGTTATGTTAGTTGTGCTAGTCTACTTACTTTTCATGATCACAGTTAGTGATTATGATCATCCTCATTTTATAAATGAGAAAACTAAGAATCAGATATTAAGATTAAGATATACACCATTACAAAAAACTGAGTCTGGAGGGAGCTGGATTTGAACCTAGAGTTGTCTGGTTGTAACTTAGTAACAAATGGCCACTCCAGTAGCAGGGTAAAGTAACTTCAGACTCTTAACCTCAACACCCAGAAAGACAAGTTGTATTTATAAGTCAAGTATTGACGTTTTCCAAGCTTACTATATTTCTGATTTTCAACCTTCCGGATATTATAGTTAGGTAAACTGAACTGCACAGAGATGCTTAAACAGCTTACCTTGCTATATCGTTAATAGTAAGGCAGGATTGTGACTTGACTCCCACTGTGAACGTTTTGCTGTGAAGAGGTGATGTATGTGTATAGTACAAAAACGATAGGCCTCACTTTCCTTGAAGCCCCGTTTTCCAAAGGTAAAACTACCTATGTGGTTCATTTTATTTGTATTACAGTTATAAGTTTATGTAAATGGAGTCGTCATTTTGTATTGTATGAGTTACATTAATAAAAAGATTGCATGGGGTTAACTTTGGCTGTATAAATTTAAGTCACTTACTAGCAACCAGATAAGTTATTTTTAATGTTTTATTATCAAAGCTGGCAAGATAACAATGTATAGGTAGAATGTGGTCTCTGAAGTGAAAGTTCTACTTGCATTAAGTACTAATGACCATAGGTGCTTAGCTCACCTCTCCTTTTCAGTTTCTTGGGCTGTAAAATGGGCCAGTAATTAACTGCACAGAACTTTTTTTTTTCCCCCTTTAACTTTTTTCATTAATACATATCTCTAAGTACATTTTTGTCGTTACCAAAAGTTTCTGGTAACAGAGTATTTGTGTTTGCAATTTTTCATAAAAATATTGTCAGATTGCCCTTAAAAAGGGTTATACCAGTCAGTATAATACCAGTAGCCTGCCCTGCTCTGTTAACACATGTGAAATACTGGTAATGTCTAGCTTTGTTGTAAATACAGGAACTACAATTTAACTGACTTTTTGAAAGCTCTTAAAGATACTGCCATTTTTTTCATCCTGAGTGACCTAAAATATTCTGCCATTTCATATCAAAATTAAATACTTTTTTAGGATCATTGTAAAAAAAAAATGCTGCTCAAAGAAAATTGAAAAATCATGAAATTGCTTGGTATGTTCTGGAACCAAATGCAAGCTTACTGCTAAGATCTTGTGTAAAGGATTCGCAGGATTAAGAAACTACAAAACCTACAGAGATTAATCAACCGTTTTTGAAAGACTGGTTGAAGTTTGATATTACTAAGGGGGAAAGTGGTTTTAAAAACAGTAATTAAATTGCTCCTCATTTAGATAGAAACCAATAATTGATCCACCATTGTAGTGGTGGATCTGTTAGTTATCAGGGTAATTTCCTCTTGCTAATTGTTTCCCAGATTAATTTTAGCACTACTCTGCTTTAGTTACTCACCATCCCATGCCAGGGAAGCATCTATTTAGGAATCTCAGCCTCTCATAGCTGGGATATTTTAGGCATGGTGCTCTTGACTAGCAGCTGCAGTACTGGCCAAAGTACTGCCCATGAACTACCGACACCTGTTGAGTAGCGCCAGTGTTTTAATTTATAAAATCTCCAGAATAGTTTACATACATCAGTTATGAGATCACTTGGTGTATCCCATTCCTTTCATTAAATGTGTATTAAACAGTTGTCATGTGGCAGACAGTATTCCAAGAACTAAATATAAAGGCGTTTTTGGTTTTTTTGTTTGTTTGGGGGGAGGCCACAGCAATCTTTATAGTGAAACTTGAGATCTACATAAAGTCATCTTTTTTAAAAATAATGCTATAGGGGCAGCTAACAGTTAGCCATAGTCTTGAAGTAAGCAGCACTGTGTTGTAACCTCCAAGACTTTGATTATGGGAAGTATATTTTGTTCTGTAAAATACTATTAAAATATGGTTTAGGTGCTGTTATTTAATACTTTAAACCATAGAGTTTCTATTGAATTTTCCATAGTTTTTAATGTCCATTAGTTTTCTTAACTCCCAATTTAAATCTTTTGCAATATTAGGCATTGATGAAATTTGTGGCATTTTTTTTCCTCATGAAAAATTTGTCCTCATGTGAATTAATGACACTATACTCGGCCGAGCATCTGGCTCAGAATGCAAATTTACTGCACCTGGCCATTAAGTGACTGGAAATAGAGATGAGACAAATATGAGTGAATTACTTTTCCACCACCACCTCACCCTCCAAAACATTTCTGACAAGCATGAAATTGCTAGCCTGTGATAGTTTCAGTGCAAGTTTTCTATACATTATTGGAAAGAATGGGTAGTTTTTAATCAAAGGTGTGATAACCAAAGTTCTCATGTTAAGATGTATAATCTCTATGAAAACATGAAAGAGAAATTTGTTCTAGACCTTTTTTAAAAATAATTCAAAAGAAACAATCCCCTTGAACAGTATGTAAGAGATGTATCCTCTGTGTATGCTTATCAGCATATTTCTGTTATTATTTACCATCTTTATAACAAGTCTTATATGAAATTTCTCTTCATTTCTTTGGCCCCATTTCTGTTAGGATTTTTGTGTTGACTTTTGAGAGCTTTTTATGTATTTCAGATCTATGTCTTAATTAGATACATAGCTTGCATGTATATTTTCCCCTATCTCACTCATAGTTTCTTAGACTCTTTCAAAGGGCAAAAGTTCTTAATTTGATGGTCATTTTATCAGGTTCTTTCCTTGTTGAGTCACGCTTTAGGTATCAAAGGTTTTTCCCTTGTGGGTTTTTCTAACACTTTTGTAGTTTTACATTTAAATTTGTGATTTGTTTTTTTAGTTTAATTTTTCTATAGTGGGATATTTGGTAACAGTTCTTGTTTGTGTTTATTTCCCCCATGGATGGCAGCCTCTCAGCGGTACCTTTTGTTAAAAAGACTGTCCTTCCTCCCTTGGATTGCTTTTGCATCTTTGTAAGAAGTCATGTGTGGATGTTTCTGGATTACTAGGCTGTTCCATTGAACTGTGTGTCTTGTCTCCACACAGGGTTTGAAATGTGGTAGACAGATTCTTCCCACTTCATTCTTCTTTCCAAAACAGTTTTAGCAATTGTTCCTTTGCCTACCTATACACATATTAGGAAAATCTATTACTATAAAAGTTTCACTAGGATTTTGATTAGAGTTGTGTTTATTTTAGCTATTGTAGTTCCTTTGTCTACACATTTTAGGAAGATCTATTACTATAAAAATGTTTCACTAGGATTTTGTAGGAGTTATGTTTAAGTTTCTTTAAAACAACATATATTTATCATGGAATCACATTTTTAGACATTTGTCCCAGAGAAAAGAAAGCATATGTTCACCAAATATTTATATACCGGCTTTGCTTGAAATAGCATAAAGTGAAAACAGCCATGTGTCCTTAAATAGGGGTATGGCTAAGCAAATTGTGGTATATCCTGAAATAAAGAGGAGCATGTTCTTGATTCTTAGATGACTTGGATGATTCTCACCAGCATTGTGCTGAGACTGAATAGGCGTTCCACAAAGTCATCTATTGTGTGAATTATAGCTTATCAAAATGACAGGACAGATGAACAGGTTTGTGGTTGCCTGAGTCTTGGAATGGTAGGTATAAGAGATGGGTATGACAAAGGGAGGTGATGGTGGTGTTCTGTAGTAATGACACCTTAGAAACCATACATCCAAACTATAAACAATAATGTGGACCAACATTACCATAATAAAAGAAATGAGAACTAGACCAGAAAAAAGATAGTGAATAGGAGAGCGTTGCTGTAATGAAATCCTGTATCTATCTTACAATGGTTACACAAATCAACATGACATAACCAGTTATATCAATGACAATATCCTGGTTTTGATACTTAATGGGGGAAATTAGAAAGGATATGTGTTACCTCCTGTCATTTCTGGGACTTCCTGTAAATCTAGTTTCAAGAAAAAAAGTTTGCCTTTTAAGTATTTTTCATGTTGTGGTTATGCTTATTCCTGTAAAAGTGTGATTTTATATCTTAACCAAGTTTGAACATTCCAGAAAAAAACTTATACTCAACAAATAGATTTTTATATATATATATGAACACATTTTGTATGTACATTACATGTGTGATATATACATTATATTCTGCAAGTCAGTTTTTAAACTGCCTTTTTGTTTTGTTACATCTTAATGCATTAACATGCTAAAAGAAAAATGTGAATAGAATTTCTATAGTTCTAGGGCTGTTGTAGTTAATTATCATTGTATTGAATTTTATATTTAAATTGTAGATAAATGTTTTTCAGTTCCTGGATTGAAAAAATTGTATAATACTTTACCTTTTAAAGTATCAGCATTTCTAGACTCTTCAACTGTAGAATAGGGGCAGCTTATGTACTTACTGCTTGATGGAATATGACATGCTTAGCACACTGCTTGTTACAGAGGTAGCTGAAAATTAATGAGATTCTTACATGGAAATTTCCACCTTGATTAATATCTGCCCGAATGTTTTTATTTTTGGACATTCTGTCTTCTCATGTATATCCTTTCGATTTTGGCCAGTAGCTGACTGTTCCTACAGTAAGTCAGGATAGTAAGGGAATTAACACTTGATAGAACTCCAAAAAGAATAAAAGCTTTTTGATGATACTTTCACTTTAAAAAAATAAATAAATAACTACAGGACCTCCCTGGCTGTGCAAGGGTTAGTCTCTGCACTGTCAAGCCTATCACTAGCCACTGTGGCAACAAGTTCGATCCCCATCTGGGGAGCTGAACCCCCATGGCACAGCAGAGCTCCCCTGAACCTCTGGCCTTTGCTCCAATACTTCAGTTAATCAATCAGTTCTTTTTTTTTTTTTTTTAAAGATTTATTTATTTATGCATACAGAACTGGGGTACAGGCCAGAGATGCGGAGGGTGAGAGGCTTCACCAGAGACAGAGCGGGGAACAGAACAGGCAGATCAACGAAGTACACTGCTGAGGGGAGCAGCAGGCGGGTCAGGAGAGGTCGGTCTGCCATGCCATGTGGTCACCTCTGGAGCAGGCAGGAATGGAACTCATGCGGAAGCGGCTTTAGACTCTCAGTGCTGTGCCTTAACCCGCTGCGCCACCAGGGAGGGCCTCAATCAGTTCTTTTTTAAAAAAAGAAAAACAACTTTAAGTTATTTGACTCCTTTTTTCTTTAGCATGTCATATTTTGGGGTCTTTTTCTTGCCCTTAAAATTAAAGCTATAGTTTCTTAAAATTTATACTAGAATTCACTCAAGCCTTTCATAGTTTCATATCAAAAGAAATTGTATGTGTCTTAATAAATATTTCAGTTCTCAAAAGGTATTTACATTGACTTTTTTCATTCCTAGGTTTCCTCTTGTTCAATAGTCAACCAGAACAATGTTCTACGCACATTTTGTCCTCAGTAAAAGAGGGCCTCTGGCCAAAATTTGGCTAGCAGCCCATTGGGATAAGAAGCTGACCAAAGCCCATGTGTTTGAGTGTAATTTAGAGAGCAGTGTGGAGAGTATCATCTCACCAAAGGTATGTTTGATAATGTATTTTTCACTTTGTCAATTGTTTACTGGTATGAGAGAACTGTAAACAACCTTCTAGGTGGGCATCCCTTCATAGTGGAAGCAAAGACCATCCATAGGTTGTCCAAAGTTTCAGTTTGATAGTGTTTTCCACTTAAAAATCTTGTAAGTTCACAAAAACTTTGACTTGTTTAATGGCAGATGAATATGAAATCTGAAATCATACAGAACCCAAATACACATTTGGCTTTTTGAATGTTTATGTATGTAGTTATAGGTGTAAATGTGCCTAATTTAAGAAATAACAAAATAATATCCATACCTCTTACTCGATCTCAGCTTCTCAGACCTAGTTGTTTCTTGAAGATACTGTGTTTTCCCCATCTCAGATTTTTTAAATTTGCAATATTCACCTCCTAAATATTGAACTCTTTTCACTATAATGATTGGAAAAACCTTACCCTTATCTGCTTTGTGACTGCTCTGTTCCAGAGGAGCTTTTGTTGACATCCTCTGAAACTTTGCAGCAATTAATTTCCACCCTTGAATTTCACAAGTAGTATATAATGTGAAGTGATGTAGGGGTTTTTGTTGCCAAGAAGGATTTTTAAAACACTGACACAATTATATCTACTAACATGATTAACATATCATTGAAGAACTGACATGTTGGCTTCAAAAATAAGTGAAGAACTAATCTCAAGTCCTTAAATACAATTTTTTAATATATATGACATTTGTGTTTTCAAGGTCCTTTCTGGGCCTTTGCTTTATACGTATGTACACACACACAAATTGTCTGTTGTTAAAATGTTCCAGCTCACAACTGGCTGAACCAACATCTGGGCCTTCACTTTATACGTATACGTATGTACATATACAAATTGTCTATTGTTAAAATGTTCCAGCTCACAACTGGCTGAACCAACATTGGGAGCCACTCTTAGAATTGTCATTTTGAACAATGTTGACATAATATATAAGTAAGAGTGAGTTAACATGCATTGTTACTTGGATTAAAAAATATGTAAAGAGATTACTCAACCTGATAGAAAAGTGTGGCTCTTTATTGCTGAAAGAGCAAGGGAATCTCACAGCAACAAAGTTGGGACATAGCAGAGACTTGTTCATAAAGTGGGTTGTAGGTAAGAGGAGTGACAGCTGGTATTTGAAAATTGTAAAGTTACTATATATAGAGAGAATTTTGGCTGGTTTTAGAGTTATAGCTAGTGAATTTATTGATACTAAGGACATTCCCAACACTATATTTTAGGTAATAATACTTTAGAAACTACTAAATTGGAGATTTTATCAAAGAAAATAAGTTGCCTATAGTCCTAGAAAACCCTTCAGTACTTTGGTGTATTTTGAGAGTAATGTAAGTGCATGTGTAGTACACATAACATGGCATATGTACAAAAAATTGTATTACATGCTTTGTAACTACTCAGCATAGGTTTTTATAGCTCTATTTTTTTTAAATAATATAATAGTTTTTTTTTTTTTTTTACATCATTGTGTGCATTTTTCCATCTCAGTTGTAATCCCCTTGGGCTTCCCATTACCAAATCACCCACATGCCATCACCAAAGACCTGTGCATTTCCCTTTCCCCCCACTGTTTTTGATTCCATTCCCCACTCCAGTCCCATAAAATGTCTCTGATATATAGCTGTTCATTATTATTTTCTTGCCTGGTCTGTTTTCTTTTCTTTCTGGCTTATTTCACTAAGCATGATCTTTTCCGGCTCCATCCATGTTGCTGCAAAGGACATGTGTTTTGTTTTGTTTTGTTTTGGTTGCTGAATAATATTCTATTGTGTATGTGTACCACATCTGTTTGATCTAGTCATCCACTTTTGGGCATTTGGGCTGTTTCCATGTCTTTCCAATTGGAAATAAAGCAGCAGTAAACATGGGGTGCAGATATCTTTTTGAATCAGTGCTTTTGTGTCTTTTGGGTAGATACCTAGCAGTGGAATTGCTGGATGATATGGAATCTTCATGTTTAGCAGTTTGAGAAACCTCCAAACAGTTTTCCATTGTACTCGTTTGCATTCCCACCAGCAGTGCAGGAGAGTTCCTTTTTCTCCACATCCTTGTCAACATTTGTTGTTGCTAGTTTTAAGATGTGCCATTCTCACAGGGGTGAGGTGGTATCTCATCTCCCTTATTACAAGTGATGTTGAACATTTTTTCATATGCATGTTGGCCATCTGCATTTCCTCCTTGGAGAAGTGTCTTTGTAGCTTATCTGCCCATTTTTTTGATGGAGTTGTTTGTTTTTGTTGAGTTTCATCAGTTCTTTGTATTCATAGCTCTGTTTTTAATGGTGGTACTGTATAGCAACATACTCTCTTATTGAATCTCTTCTTTGGATTTTTTTCCCTACCCTTTTCTGGTTTTTTGAATTTTAGTTACTCTGGTTCTATATAGTACAACCATTATGCAACTATAAACAGACCTTTTCCTAAATACAAAACAGTATGGTTAGTTTTTTCTGTACATACTAAGAGAAGTTATTTGTACATGCATACATGAAAACCACCAATTTACTCTGAGGAGATTATACTAGTTTGCACTGTTGGTATAGCACTACTTTTTATAGGCAAACTTACTGAGAATGGGAACAGGAGAAATTGAGCTTATTTCTTGAAATTGACTGATGTGGCTAAACTTAACATTCATAAGCAAATATTGAGGGAGTTTAGGCTTAAAGGGATAATGAATAACATGTCCTCACAGTATGTGCAGGTACTTTGTACCCTTTATAGGGCCACCATTAAAGACCACCAGTCTGGTAAATGAAGGTACTAGCCACAAAACAAGGCTTACAGTTCAGGAATAATGTGGAAGATTGTAGCATATACGTTGGAATAACTTTAAAAATCATTACTTAGTTTTTGTTTGATTTTTTTTTCCTTTTTTTATTGTTACAGATTGTAAAGGTTTTTTCATGAGGACATTTTGGTTTAGTAGTTTAAAACTAGTGTGAGGCATGTGAACTAAATTTCAACTGCCTGTCTTCTCTCCCTTTTTCCCCTCCCTTTTTTGCAGGACAGGGTGAGCATTTCTTTACCCTCTCTGGTTTGGAATCTCCACTGACAGACAAATAACCTTTACAGAGCTTTTCCTGAAAAGATGGCCCATGTTCTTTATTATCCTGCATTGAGCTAGCTCAGTAGCAAAAATACCATGCTTTTTTTACTTCTCCTCTCCTAGGTGAAAATGCAGTCACATCAATCTTAAATTTTTTAAGATTCTATCTTTAAAAAAAAAAAAAAGATTCTTGGGTCCTCCTTGGTGGCTCACCGGGTTAAAGCATGGTACTAAGAAGCTAAAGCCACTTTTGCATGAGTTCGATCCCGCCTGCCCCCGAGGCGATCTACATGGCTAGGGCAGACCTCTCCTGACCCGCCCACTGCTCCCCCAGCTGTGTACTTCATCATTCAGCCTGTTCTGCTCCCCTCTCTCTGTCTTTGGTGAATCCTCTCATTGCCCCTGCACCTCTGCCTTGTACCACAGTTCTGTATATACAAATAAATAAATCTTTTTAAAAAATAGGTCCTTTATCAGGAACAATGTTTTAATTAGGTATTAACTATCGAGGACAATTTTATTTAATGTTAACCTTTTTTCTTAAAAAAATTTCCTTTATAAAGACAGATACTTGGAATCACTATTTCAGTTGAGTGTTAATGCTCTCTTTTCTTAACTACTTAATCTCATCTATATACTGTCCCACATGATCAAGGACTATCATGGAAAAAAAAACAAGCTACCGGGTGTATATATTTTTGGATGAAAAAAGATGAATGATACTGTTCTTCCTTAGTATGCTTTCCTGTCTGATGATAAAAAACAGTGAAAAGTCCTTTAAATAGTAAGGAAATTAGCAGTCATATTACTCAACCAAAAATGTGAATTGATTTAGCAGTTTAGTGTTGTCATCCAAGGGCTTACACCATTGTTAACTTGTTAGCTTCTTATTTTTAAAGCCTTCTGGTTATATGGTTTAGCCAGCAGCTCCATTCCCCACCTGCTCAACAAAGCAGAGAAGGAAGACTTGTTTTTAAAAGATTTATTTATGCATACAGAACTGGGGTACAGGCCAAGAAGGGCAGGGGCAGTGAGAGGATTCATCACCAGAGTGGAAGCAGAACAGGCAGATCTACAAAGTACACTGCTGAGGGGAGCAGCGGGTGGGTCACGAGAGGTCTGCCACACCATGTGGACACCTCCGGAGCGGGGATCAAACTCACTCAAGCAGCTGTGGTCACTTGCAGTGCTGAGCTCTAAACCGTTGCACCACCAGGGAGGGCCTGGGAGATTCTTTTTTTTTAAGATTTATTATTATTTGTGCATACAGAGCTGGGGAACTGGGGTACAGGCCAGAGGCTCAGGGGCTGCGAGAGGCCTCACCAGAGACAGAGCTGGGAGCAGAACAGGCAGATCAATGAAGTACACTGCTGAGGGGAGCAGCGGGCGGGTCAGGAGAGGTCTGCCACGCCTGTGGTCGCCTCCGGGGCAGGCGAGAAACAACTCATGCTGAAGTGGCTTTTAGCTTTTTAGTGCAGTGCTTTAACCCGCTGAGCCACCAGGGAAGGCCCGGAAGATTCTTTGTAGGGGTAAATTTGGTAAATTTTTCTCCGAAATGGACACACTTCACAACTATTTGTCATTGGCTGAGTTACATGCCAATCTGAGATAGGCATCAGTACAAGGAAATAATCAGCCTTCAAGGTTGAAAACATTTACTTCAAACAAAGTAAGAATTTGAACAAGGAGTGCTGACCTTTACTGTACTAATAACAGTAGCTCGTGAAATGTCTCTACCTGTTCTCAGCTATGTATCTTCACATCTTTGTTAGTCACAAATACTATGAGTCTAAACTTTGGAGATAACTTAAAGGGAATATATAGGATACTACGAGGCACCTTCAAATGAAAAAAACTAAAGAGAAAAACCGCCTACAAATTGCACAAAATACAAGCACATGGTTATCTCTCAAAACTAGAAAATTAGCTGCATACATTAGATTGATAGTCATGTTTTTTCACAGGTGAAGATGGCTCTCAGAACATCAGGACATCTTTTACTGGGAGTGGTTCGAATCTATCACAGAAAAGCCAAATACCTCCTTGCAGACTGTAATGAAGCATTCATTAAGATAAAGATGGCTTTTCGGCCAGGTATTGTTGACTTTCTTTCTCTTTTTAACTTTGAAGTTTCTTATTTTTCATGGAAAACTACTGGACAAATATTCTAGATCAGTATGTTTTGTCTTAATTGGAGTACAAGGAATCCTTAGGAAATAGGACTGGGAGGTCATTTTTTCAAGGGAAGAACCATTTTACTTCTGTTGGGTTATGAAAACATTTCTTTGGAGTTTCCTTTGGTAACCCTTTCTTCAAGTGTGATTTACTAGAACTGAACCACTGGAGGTTGAAATTTTCAACTTTAAGGTGTTGTGTTTTGTTTTTTAACATGGCTCAGGTAGAAAATCTTAGTATTTTTTTTCTCTGAATAATTTTAGTTTAGTCTTAAGATCAGACTTAAGTTTGATACTTTTCATTAAACATTCTTTGTACTTTTTTGTTTTGTTTCAGGTAATGATTCTAAAAACAGGCTCTAACAACCAGATGCCATCTGTACAGTTACTAGGCTATTGGAATTCACTTCTATAATTTTAATAATGAATGAAATTTTATTATAGTTAAACATAGTCTGGATGTATAGGAGAGATGCTTTATACTATAGTTTCTACTAAAGTTATATTCTAAAACTTCAAATTACTTTAATATGAGCATAATATTTTTTGAGATCTGAAATTTTGAGTTAGGCTATGATAGTTCAGTGATTTCTTAACATGTGACTACTTAAGTACACTTTTGTTTAGATTATAGGTTTTTCATTTTGTCTTTTAAAGCAATGCATATTATAGACAGCTTGAAAAAATAAAGAAAACTAAAATCATGTAATTTTGCTTTCCTTAAAACAACCAAACACTTAACATTGGGGCCATTCTTTTACCTCCTCAAAAATTTCATGCTGATTTTAAAATCTTATGCCCATTCAAACCCTTAGTCAGCCTAGTGCATAAAGAGTGCTTTGACTTTTCTTTTTAATCAGACAAGTAGGATGGCTTGTGGTTATAGAAAATAAAAAAGTAATTGTGTTTCAGTGTGCTTTTGTTTAGTAGTAGCCTTTCTTGAACATAAACTTGGTAAATAGTACTGAATGTACTTCCTTTTGATTCCTAAATGAGTGGTGTGGCCATACTAGATTTTCAGACTTTAACCTTTTTTTTTTTCCCAGGTGTTGTTGACTTGCCTGAGGAAAATCGAGAAGCTGCTTACAATGCTATTACTTTACCAGAAGAATTTCATGACTTTGATCAGCCACTGCCTGACTTAGAGTATGTTTTTCTCTTTTTTTAATTGTTGACTTGGTCTACAAAAATACATACCAGTAGTATGGCCTCTTTGACATTAAGTTCACATGTAGTTAGAATACTTAAATTTAGGGTAGTGTATAAATAGGAAATGCATAACCTAAAAGTTTCTTTAAGAAAGTCTTATAGAAGTCAGCAGTTATCTTCGGTCCTTCAGATCTTGCTGACAATTGATAACCAAGAAACTCTATATACCAAACTCCATATACTTTCTGATAGATTTCTAGTTTTTTAAATTATCTTGTGTCTCTTAATTCATTTCCTCCACCACCGTTTCTTATACTTAACTGGTTTTACTTTTATGAAAATACTCAGCTAAGGGCCCTCCCTGGTTGTGCAATAGGTTAAGACGCAGCACTGCAAGGTAAGCCACAGCTGCTTCAGTGCAGGTTCAATCCTTGGCATGGGAGGAGATCCACATGGTACAGGTCTTCTCCTGACCTGCCCACTGCTCCCCTCAGCAGTATACATTGTCAATCTGCCTGTTCTGCTCTCCACTCCGTCTCTGGTGACTCTTCTCACCGCTCCTACACCTCTGGTCTGTACCCCAGTTCTGTATGCATTCAAAAATAAATAAATCTCTCTTTTTTTTTTTTTAAATGCTCAGCTATAAAGTCAGTTAATATTCTGAACCCCATGTACTGATCATATGGCTGCTTTATCAATTTATTGGCAGTTCTATTTATCTGTATTCCCCAACTCACCTTCCACTTCCTCTTTTTTTTTAACGTAACATACCTTATTTGATCTGTAAAAACTTAAGCATACATCTTTTTAAAGATAAAGCATTTTAAAAACATACCCTTAATAATACAACATCTTGTTTAAAATAACAGTAATTTCATAACATAATATGCAGCAGGGTTCACATCTCCCCAGTTGATAAGTGATCAGGGTTCACATCTCCCCAGTTGACAAGTGAGACGCTCTTGCCCCTTTTTGAGTGAGGGTCTGTGCGTAGGTTATAGACTGTGGTTGATATGCCTCATAATTCTCAAAAATTTATCAATATTACAGCTTTGCAGTCCCCTTACATTTTTCCTTGCTGTTTATTTGTTCCACTTGTTGATTTGTTTTCAGGTATTTACTTTCTGAATTTGGCCAGTGACATTTCACATGGGTGTCTAACTTTACCTTTTTCAGTTTCTTTTTTTAACAATATGAGGATATTTGTGTAATAAACAGTCTCAGAAAGCCAGGTAACTTTAGAGTTCACACAGCCTATAATTAGAGCATCCTGATGAAAATCCATGCCACTAAATCATTTTTCAGATGCTTGGGTTATATCATTTTATGTTAAACATTAAGGCCCTTAAACCTTGACAGGTTATATCTTTCTCTTGGGGTAAGGAATTCTTTAAATACATTACAGTGAGACTTAAGATTAAAATGTATTTGAAATTCTTTTACAGTGACATCGATGTGGCCCAGCAGTTCAGCCTGAACCAAAGTAGAGTAGAAGAGATAACCATGAGAGAAGAAGTCGGGAACATCAGTATCCTACAAGAAAATGATTTTGGTAAGACAGACAAATAAGGCACTGTTTACCAGGTTATGATTATGTTATGTCACTATTGACATTTTGACAAAGAAAAAGTAAGCATACTTAACATAAATAAAGGCACTAAAGCATTTTCATCAAACAAAAGAACTTGTCTCCTGACCAGTATTTTGAGTAGCATTTCCATTCATGTGCTAATCTTACGTATTCATTATTTACCTACTCATACAGAGAGAGAAAACCTATGAATTCGTGTGAGAAGTCCTAAGAGTGAAGACCAAACTAAAAATACCAGTTTTCAGTGAACTATAACTCATTTAGCTTTCTGGTTTTGTGTGTATTTTTAACTTTTCAACTAATGACTGACAAATACTTGTTCAGGTGACTTTGGAATGGATGATCGTGAAATAATGAGAGAAGGCAACGCTTTTGAGGATGATGACATGTTAGTAAGCACCAGTGCTTCTAACCTCCTATTAGAACCTGAACAGAGCACCAGCAACTTGAATGAGAAAATTAACCATTTAGAATATGAAGACCAGTATAAGGATGACAATTTTGGAGAAGGAAATGATGGTGGTATATTAGGTAGGTCACAACATGGTAGTTATTCTGACATTTCTTTATTCAGCTGTGATGTTTTATAGCAGTTACTAAATCTGTCTTGAACATCTCTCTAGCTTTCGATGCATGAATTAGTGACCAGCTTTCTATAAGATAATAACTGCAATGTTGTTACATCTGTATAGCAGATACATTTGTTATATCCATGTATCTTAATTCAGGTATCTAATGGACTAGCTGTACAAGTTGCTATGAAATACAAAATGATGAAAACTGCAGCATTTTGCTTAAAAGTGCTTGTCTCAAGAGTTTAAAATGTTACTAGTTCTATTATTGCTTGCTAATTCTTTTGTAAATACCTTGGAGAGGAATGAATGCAGATTTACACTATTTTAACACAATTTTATTTTCAAGTGATGGGCGATTTTAACATTTCTTTTTGAGGTTATAATACAAATATAACCTCAATATAAATATAAATATATATTTCCTATTTCAGATGACAAACTTATTAGTAATAATGATGGTGGTATATTTGACGATCCTCCTGCGCTGTCTGAGGCAGGGGTCATGTTGCCAGAACAGCCTGCAAATGACGACATGGATGAAGATGATAATGTTTCAAGTAAGTATTTCACGTTGTGTGATCTTTGTGTGATTGTGTTGCTTCCAAAAAGATGTTTATTGTGAAAGACCACAAACTGAAAGTTCCAGCTTTCATTAACCGTAAATCTGTTCTTTTTCATGATTGTCTACTCATGCTAATTCCCTCATGTGTTTAATGCCCCTCTTCTGGCAAATAAAGTTTAACTCAGAGATTTCCTTATAAATTGTATTCAAGATTTCTTGGTACAATTTGGGTTTGAGTATCTAAAAGATTTTTTTATATATATCTGGAGTGCATATATTAAATTACAAACCTTTTGTGACCAAAGACTTTGTTTTTATAGTGGGTGGGCCTGATAGCCCTGACTCAGTGGATCCTGTTGAACCACTGCCAACTATGACTGATCAAACAACACTTGTTCCAAATGAGGAAGAAGCCTTTGCTTTGGAACCTATTGATATCACAGGTGAGCAAACAAACTTTCTGACTTAAGAAAACATTCAGGGTTCTAGTTCTAGATCTGTTACTGTGATTTGAGATAATTAAGCTGTTTTCATTGTCATCTGTATAGCAGATACATTTGTTACATCCATATATCTTAATTCAGGTGTCTAATGGACTAGCTGTACAAGTTGCTATGACATGCAAAAGTAATAGAACAAACTTTTTAGTTACGTGTATTTTAGTCTTTTGAGGTTCCCAAAATGCTAGTAGGTCACATAACAAAAAATAATACAGGGCATTATCCTTCTAGCATTCTAGAGTCTCTGCTACTGCGCTACAGTCTAGGAAAACTGAAAAATGCAATTTTTTTAAAAGGGGAAATACCAAACATGCTAAATTTAGTATTTCTTTCTGGAGTGCTTACTAAGAAACCATAGCAAAACGTTTAATTGAGGGAGTGCTGAGTAAAAGGCAGTGTGATTTGGATACGAACTTTAAAATTTCTAGGTGGTTATAGACAAGGGATAAAATACTTAATATCTGTTACAGTGTAATTCAAAACATAACTTTAAGTGGAAGGGTTTCCTACTAGTAATCAGATCACCAACTTGTTGAGACGTGGACTTATGGTTTTTAAAGGGTACTTGCTGTGTCCTGACTTGAGGAAATAAAAATATAGCCAGTCCTTATTCTTATGGAACTTAAATACTAATTAGGGTGTTGTGTTTGACAAATATTGTAGAAAACTAACTAGGTAAGGGCTATATACTAGTAACATAGGCTTTGCTGTGTTGTATGAACTTGACCTTTTCTTTCTGGGAAGGGCTCTCTGTAGCTGAAACACAGCTTGCACAGAAGGCAGTCACTTCATAATGTCTTTTTTTTTTTTGAACCATATGAATATCTTATATATACCACAGTTTTTAATGTGTGTTTAACATGCCTGAGAAGGTGGAATCTTGAGAAATTTACTTGAGCTTTTCTGTATCTTAAGAAGTTGAGATAACACTTTCTGCTTTGCAGAAAAGATGAATATACAGAGTGTCTAAAATGAGGTTACAGGTTTGATATCTCAACTGGGTTTGGACTTGGTTCACTGCCTATATAATTGCCATATGAATTGTAATTTTATATTTAAAAAAATCAGTTGCAACCAGTTTTAAAGTTACTGAACTTATGCTGGACACTTCACTAAGTATTTTAAGTATTCTTTTTTAAGTATTTTACAACTCTTCTAAGTGGTTGGTAATATTTCAAATGAGAAAATGAAGAAGATGAAGTTAACTTTTGTGATCAGTTAGTCAGCATTAATAAGTAGTAGAGCCCTGGCTTAAGCCTGACTTGGAATCAATGTGATGGTTTCCATGGTTGCAGCACAAAATTTACATGGACAGAAATGTATTGACTCTTACCTTATTTTATTTTGTGTTAAAAGTTTGCATAGTCTTTCTGCAAATATTTGTTGAGCACCTGCTGTATGCGTGAAAGTCTGTTCTAAATAGTGCTTGCAGAAGCATTGATTAAAAGACATTCTGTCCTTAAGAGGCTTCTCTGCAAAGAGTCTGGAAAAAAAAGTATACAGTGAGCCAAGTCTAGTAGAAAGAAGTATGCTGGTCTATCAGGAAAATAACATTTTCTTTTTCCCTTCTAGTTAAGGAAACAAAAGCTAAGAGGAAGAGGAAGCTTATTGTTGACAGTGTCAAAGAGTTGGATAGCAAGACAATTAGAGCTCAACTTAGTGATTACTCTGACATTGTTACTACTTTGGATCTGGCACCACCCACCAAGAAATTGATGATGTGGAAGGAGACAGGGGGAGTGGAAAAGCTCTTCTCTTTACCTGCTCAGCCTTTGTGGAATAACAGACTACTGAAGGTATATACTTGTGACATGTTTTATTTCTGTATACATTTTGTTCATTAAAAAATGTGGACCTTGTTGGATCCCTTTATACCAAGTATCTTTATATGGCACATCTTTTTTCACTTCCGTAAATCATAATATTGAACATCGTCTGCTCTGAAAATTTTGTATCACCACAAAGATACAGAATGATTCTTTCCCTATATTTAAAAAAAAAAAAACCACTGATTTTTTTAAATAATTGTTTTCAGCCTCCTGTGGTAAACTATTAGATCCCATTTCCCTAATATGTATTGTCCTTCAAATCTGCAATCTCTTGCTTTCTGGCTAAAAAACATGGGTAGTTCTTTTCCCACAATACAAAATTTTGTGGGGTTTTTTGGGAATTATTTTCACTTATAGGCCCTTTTCTGCAACTTTAGATTCCAAGGCCTGTGATGATTGAAGCAGTACTGTTATACTAGTTTTCCACGTGAAATAATAAGCTTGAGACATTGGCTTTTACTGAAGAATTTCAAAGCACCAAAGCTATTATAAAACTGTTGTTTATCAGAAGCATGGTCATATATATTATTTTTTTACACTGGAGTTTTTCCCCTAGGAAGTGATTCAAGATCTAGAAAAAACTCTTTGAGTGAAGATATCCATTTAAAAAACAAAATACCTAAGTTACATGAAATGTTTTAAGTGTAAGATGTGCCTTTGCTCAGAGGGATACTATGCAGTCATTAAAAACAAATCTATTGATAAGATTACCATTTGGATTTTAAAAACACTAAAGGTATTTGATATTCATACACTCAATCTAATTTGAGTAATAGGAAAATAAACTGCTGGTAAATTTAAAACTCTAGTGTTGTGTCCAAGTTATGAGACAGTGGATGAAAATTTTTCATTTTATTTTCAACTTTTCTAAAATTGCTGTGGTTACAATTTTGAAATAATGATGAAATGAAGACATACTCTTTATATACACTTGATTACAACTTTATTAAAATACACTTACGGAAATAAAAATGTCTGGTAGGTTTCAGTTAGTATTTTTTATTTTAAAATTGAGATTTTTCTTTTAAAAAATTTCTTTTTTAGCTCTTTACACGCTGTCTTACACCACTAGTACCTGAAGACCTTAGGAAAAGAAGGAAAGGAGGAGAAGCTGACAATTTGGATGAATTCCTCAAAGAATTTGAAAACCCAGAGGTTCCCAGAGAGGACCAGCAGCAGCAACACCAGCAGCGTGATGTTATCGGTCTGTTCTTTTGGAGTACTCCTTTGGTGAAGTTTAGTGAACGTTTAGCTTTAAACGTTCCTGTATATTGCTAAAGTAGAATCAGAAACAAAGGAGATACTAAGGTTTTGGGACACAGAGTACATCCATTATTGTCAGTCTGCTTAGTTTTGAAGCTTTCTTTTTTCACATGGTTAAAGCTCAGAAGTGCCTGAGTAGTAAGTCTGTTAACAAATTGTCATGCATTGGACCATAGTGGGACTTGTCTTCTTAAGGCCCCTTCCCACCTTTAGTACTATAAATTGAGTTATAGCCTTTGGGGGAGTAAAATTTTATTTGGCCTTTTTAAGAAAAAATGCCTTTATCTTAGAATACTAGCATTAATAGTAGATGGTTCTAAGTTATTATTGAAAACTACATGGCCTAAGTCTCCTCTTCATATGACGAATTGCAGATGAGCCCATTTTGGAAGAGCCAAGTCGTCTGCAGGAGTCTGGGATGGAGACCAGCAGAACAAACGTGGATGAGTCAGCCATGCCCCCACCACCGCCTCAGGGAGTGAAACGAAAAGCTGGACAAATTGACCCAGAGCCTGTGATCCCTGTAAGCTAATCTCTCAAGATGTTTGGGAACATTCAATTGTGTTAGATCTCTAATAATAGCAAGTAATTTAGGCAGAAAATGGCAGAGAACGTGTCCAGAGAGAAACAGTTCCAGCCAAGGATAAGAGCACACTGCCTTAAATGGTAGGAAGATGTTTTGGGTAATTTGGGTCTTTGGGACTCTTCTTGGATTAGTGTCTCGTTTCGAATGGTCTAAAGTGAGTATTCTTGGCTAACATGAAGTCTTTTACTGGACTTGATTCTGCTTTTTGTTTTCTCAAACATTAGTCCAGGGATAATCTAATAATTCTAGATCAAATAAGAAAAGCAATACATGGATCCTGTTAAATTCTGAGTATGTTAAGTGTCAGGAGTAAACAGACTAACTTCCTGCTAAATGAAACAATTTGTGTGCTTAAAAATAAGCCAGTAGGTAGCTATACGCTCTACGCCAAGTGGCACAAGAGGTCAGTTGACAATACGGTTCCTGCCTTTGCTATTACAAGAATTCGGTGAGCTTGGTAGTGCAGATGCCTTTTAAGATGGTGACTTAGTCTCCTTTGGTAAATACCCAGAAATAGATTTGCTGGATTATTTGTTAGTTCTTTTTTAAGCAGTTTTCATGCTGGCTTACATGGTCTATACAGATGTTCATTCTCTTTTCTCCACAACAAAAAAATGTGTGGGCTTGTTGATGTTCCGTTTACTCTTTCAAAAAAAACTTTCAAATAAGAAAAGCAGTACATGGACCCTGTTAAATTCTGAATGTGCTAAGTGTGTCAGGAGTAAACAGAAACTAACTTCCTGCTGAATAAAAGAATTTTTGTGCTTAAAAATAAGCTAGTAGATAGCTTCATTCTAGGCCAAGTGGCACAAGAGGCTACTGCTAGCTTCACTAGGACGGGAAAAGTAAGTGTAAGGAAAATAAGGTCTAGTCCAACCTTAAGTCTAGTAACCTTCAGCTTCATATTTTTTTTTTTTTTTTAAAGATTTATTTATTTTGTACATACAGAACTGGGGTACAGGCCAGAGGCTCAGGGGCGGTGAGAGGCTTCACCAGAGGCAGAGTGGGGAGCAGAACAGGCAGATCGACGAAGTACACTGCTGAGGGGAGCAGCGGGCGGGTCAGGAGAGGTCTGCCTCGCCATGTGGTCTCCTCCGGGGCAGGCGGGAATTGAACTCATGCGGAAGCAGCTTTAGATTCTCAGTGCAGTGCTTTAACCCGCTGCGCCACCAGGGAGGTCCTCAGCTTCATATTTTAAGAAAGTCTATGCCCTCTGGTGGTATGTCTGTTTCTGTTACGAGTTCAGAGTAGAGGTAAGAAATTCGGTTACTCTGATCCCACTTTCCTGGTACTTTTTTCCTGTCATTCCGTTATTTTAAGCCGTAGAGGAAGGTAACACAGAAGATGGACTCAGATAGTCTCCTTTTTTGACGTAGGTGTACCAAGGCTCTCATTTAGAACCCAAAATTAAAATTTTAACCTATTTTGTAATAACCTTAAGACAGTTAGATGTGGTAATAGTTGGCATATCAGGCATGTAAATAAGTTTTTTGCATTATCATGAAGTCACTGGGTTAGTCTACTTGTTTGTAAAATGCTGCTACAGAAAGTTTTTACTTTTTTTATTGTTTATAGTAAGAGTCAAATAATGAATATGAAAATTGTTCTAGGATGATGTAATGGGTTTTCTTCTGTAAACTAATGGTGTAGCTTTATAATTTAAGAACAAGGTACAGATTATTGATATAATCAGTTGTGAGGGAGTATGGAAATATGGCTCCAGTAGTTCTTGAAAATTTCAGCATCTTTATGTGTTTGTACACTTGACATTACAGGTAAAATGTGCATCTTAAATTGTTTTGTTGTTTAGCCTCAGCAGCCAGAGCAGATGGATATACCTCCTGTGGAGCTACCCCCAGAAGAGCCTCCAAATATCTGTCAGTTAATTCCAGAGCTAGAACTTCTGCCAGAGAAAGAGAAGGAGAAGGAAAAAGAGAAAGAAGATGATGAGGAGGAGGAGGTAAGAATAAGTAAATGAGATCTGAGGAATAAATATTCAATCCAGAAGAACTGAGTTACTTGATATTTTGTATTGTGGTACAGTAATAAAATTGTTTAAGCAAAAATTAACCAAAATCTCAGGACTCTGGAGCACCAAGAATCTGATTGTATGTTGTGGTGCTTGGTCCCTTCGTGGGGCATGGGACTGCCCTTTTAGTAAATCTTGTGGTTAGTGGTTAATTCTTAATACTTTTAGCTTCTGGTAAAAGTATGTTTCTCTGACCTGGAAAGCAAACAACCAAAACTTTTTTTTTTTTTTTTTTAATGAGGTGTTTTATAAACAGGTGTCCTTTTCTCTGGTCATTGAGAATGTTTTATGAAAGTCATACGCTATTCTGTTTAAAGTATTTTCCTATTAGCATTGAAACTTTGTAAAACTTGTATCCAATCTATAATTTTTCATTTTCATTAGCATTTGTTCATACTTGTAGTTTAATGTGAATGCTGCATTGTTTTACAGCCAGATTTTAGCCCAGAGCTACTCTAGCATAAGATATGCAGCTACCTCAGACATAGTAATGAGTCAATATTAAAAATTGTTGTGTAACTATAAAATTGTTCTTTGGAACACGGTATGTTACCTCCTGTGGGTCCTAGAACCCTCTCACCTCAGCAAGTCATTTTGGAAGCAAGTCTGTAGGAGGCATTTGGGAGTTGGGTATCTCAAGTAAAATATTTTCATGCCTTATAGCCCATTTATTTATTTATTTTTTAATCAAGTACGTCAGTACTGCTCACTCACCTTTGCTAGTCTGCGGGCTCTTTGGTTACTGGTCCATGATGTTAGGGGTCTGCTATAATATAAGTCACTGAGGAGGACAAAGATGGTGTAGTTGATTTTTATCCCAGCAGAAGTTTCTTCTCAATGGGCCAATAACCAACATCTAACCATTGGGCAATAGTCATGAGTCACATTGTATTGATCATATCCTTGCAAGAATACAGAACTAATGTTTTGTAATTTAAGAAATTCTTCAAGGTACATACTAGAGTCTTAAGTGATTTTATTTTTCCAGCAATATCAAATACAGTTTGAGAGAATGATTGAAGTAGTTTTGTCAGCTTTGTGTTTTGTTTGGGGGGCATTTTTATTCAGGATGAAGATGCTTCTGGGGGTGATCAGGATCAAGAAGAGAGAAGATGGAACAAGAGAACTCAGCAGATGCTTCATGGTCTACAGGTAAGTCAGTCTTAAGACTTCAAGGACTTGGCATTGCGCCCTCAAAATAATAGTCACATGTAACCAAAAAGTGACTTGACCGAACTCAAGCTGGGAAGTATCCAAACACTCCTGCAAAGCAGATCCCTGGTGAGATCGTATGAAACCACTTTGTGTCACTGCTTCTTATTTTTGGTTAACTTTACAAATTACATATAGATGAATTATCTTGAGTTCTATAAAAGCTGGACTTGTTTCCATTCTTAAAATTTTTACATCATCATCCATTTTTGTACACTTGTTTGATTTCTTCTCTCAGATGTTGTCCCCATAAAATTGCCACCACCAAGACACCTATGAGCCCTCTCAAGACTCTTGTAGTCTTCCCTCCCATGTTGATCCCTCTCCTTCCTTCTCCCCTGATGTCTCCAGTTTATAGTATGACCCCAAGTATGATTTCTCTCTGTTCCTTGTATAAGAGATTATGCTTATTTCACTGAGCATAGTTCATTCTGGCTGCACTCGTGTTGCTGCAAATGGCAGAAGTTCATCTCTTGTGAATGCCCCAGTCATCCGTTTGGGGCATTTAGATTGTTACCATATTTTAGCTACTGTAAATAGTGCTGCAGTAAGCATAGGAAACCAATTTCCTTTCGAATTAATGCTTTCTAGTCCTTTGGGTAGATTTCTAGGAATCAAATTGCCAGGTCTTATGGTAGATTGATTTTAAATAATTTGAGGATCCCCAAACTGTTCAAACCACTATGGTTGGACCAGTTTGCATTCCCACTGGCACTGTAAAAGGGTTCATTTTTCTCCACATCCTCCCCAGCACTTGATATTAGTTCTTTCATTATGGGCCATTCTTAACTGGTTTGAGGTGGTATCTCATTGTGGTTTTGATTTGCATTTCCCTGATTCTCAGTGGTGTTGAGCATTTTTTCATGTGCCTGTTGGCCAGCTGCATTTCCTCTTTGGGGAAGTGTCCTTTAAGCTCTTTTTGACTAGAAGCTCTTTGTAGGTTTCTAGTAATCAGTCCCTTACCAGTTTTGTGGAGTACAAATGTTTTCTCCCAGTCTGTGCGAAGTCTTTTCATCTTGTTGTCTCTTTGCTGTACAGAGCTTTTCAGTTTGATGTTTATCTTCCAGCTGTTTATCTTTCCCTTCACTTCTGGGAATGAGTCCTTAAAGATGTTTTTGAGGTGTCTGTCATGGAGTATTCTGCCTGTTTTCTATGTACTGCATGTTTTCAGGTCTTATTAAAGTCTTGGGTTTTAGTTCGGATCCATTGGAGTACTGTGCTCTGTGCTCTTTAAGTTAGTAGGCTTTGGAGTATAGCTTGAAGTCTGGAAGTACCTTCAGTCTTCCTTTTTCTAGTCAGGAGAGCTTTGGCTATTTGAGGGGTTTTGGTGTGTGTGTTTTGTTGTTGTTGTTTGTTTTTTTTTTTGTTTGGTTTTTTTTGGTGGTACCAACTAAGTTTCATTAATTTTTTTTAATGCCATTGAGATTTTTATTGGAATAGCATTGAATCTGTAAATTGCTTTTGATAGAATGACTATTTTGATAATGTTAATTCTGCCAATCCATGAGTAGGGGACAGCTTTCTATTTCTTCTGTATCTTCTATTTATTTTATCATTGCTTTGTAGATTTCTTTGTATAGGTCTTTTGGTTTCTTTGTGAGGTTTACTCCCAGGTATTTAATTTTGGGTGGTAAAATTGTGCATGGGATGGTTTTCTTGATTTCTTCTTCAGGTATACTGTATACAAGGAAGGCTACTGACATTTTGTATGTTGATTGTAACCTGCTGCTTTACTAAACTCATTTATTGTTTTAATTAGCTTTTCTGTGGAGTTGTTAGGGTTCTCTATATATTATCATATCATCCATGAATAGTGATAGTTTTACTACTACTTTCTCTATTTGGGTTCTTTGTATATCTTTCTTTTGCCTAAAGGGGAAGCTAGACTTTCTATTGCTTTTTCTTGGACATTGTTTCATTTATCCACTGCCAACCCCCACCAGAATATAGGGTCTCCTTTTTCCATTATCTAAAATTGTATTCATTTAATTCTTCATTTTATTTCAGAGAGCACTTGCTAAAACTGGAGCTGAATCCATCAGTTTGCTTGAATTATGTCGAAACACAAACAGAAAGCAAGCTGCAGCAAAGTTCTACAGCTTCTTGGTTCTTAAAAAGCAGCAAGCTATTGAGCTGACACAGGAAGAACCATACAGTGACATCATTGCAACCCCTGGACCAAGGTTCCACATCATTTGAGCAGCTAAAAGCATTAGAGCTAGTGTTCATTTCACTAGTGTGTACAAATTGCCCCCATGTGCCGGGCACACAAACCCTTTGAGAAAATTTAGGATTTTGTCTGTACAAAAGTCTCTGCCTTTCTTTTTTTCAGTATTTTAAATTTCATCTTTAAGAGAAACTGCTTATGGATGGATATGATGAAGAAAACAAACACCCCACAGATCCAGAAGAATAGTTCAAAGCAGATGTATGCAATACTAGCACACGTAAATGTTGAATAACATTTGGGATTTTTATGAACTTTCAATTCCTGGATTGGGAAAGAAAACTTGACTAACAATTTAAGAACTATTACTTAGGAAAATATCTTTTCCTAAGTAATCCCATCAGTCTTGGGGATCACTTTTTAGGGGTGGTACCCAAAACAACAGAGTGGTTCTCTTGAAAGTATAATTCCATATTGGCCAATGGGGTATGTGAAATGATGCTGTACTGATCCCCATCAGCTATAAAGAACAAGGAATTGGTTCAAAGTGCTCTGTTTTATAAATCATTCCATTTGAGACTTGATAATAATGAACCTATCCTAAAAATAGTTTTAATGAGATTCTAAAATGAGCCAAAATACTTTTTTAGCATAGAATCACTATAAAAAGCAACTTAACCAATAACTATAAATCAAAAGTTTTTAAAAAATGTTGGATATATTTTGAGTATTCAAATCATGAAAATAAAAATTATGCCAACTGAGGGACAGATGGAAAATTATACACTTGGTTGACTTTTAAGCAGACAATGCTGTAAAAACTATGGCTTCTCTGATATTTATTATAAATTTTAGTACCGATCTCTCCAACTCTGCACACTCCTGTGTTTGGAACTTTATTTTAGTAGCTTCGCAACAGAAATCATATATCTGGTTTCTGATAATTTAATTGAAGAAAAATACATCCAAATAAAGTCATTATTACTAACAGACCAGGTTACAGAAATTATGTGACTATTGTGATTATCAAAACACGTCTTAACTTTTTAGGGCAAAATGACACTGAAAGTTGTAGCTTAAGTGTTGGCACTTTTGGGGGTGGGGTGGGAGGATCACTTTTGAAACTCAGACTTCAGTGTATACCCAGTAATTTAAAATTATGTGAAATGTTTTAAATTTGTGAACTCGTAATTACTGTTTTGATGATTGTTTCTTGAGGATGTTAATTGTATAAAATTGCTATTGCAGCTTTATTTTCCATATGATGTGCCTGTAAACCATGGATTTCTCTCCCTTTGTAAAAAGACATTGTAGATAATTGAATGTTTGATTATAGAAAGGTCATTAGTTTCTTGTTACACATTTTGTTAGTCTGGTTTTGTTGCTTATCGGGTTTAATATTGTTCTTGAAAATAGTTGATGCTATGTTATGTATAACTTTTCTAATAAAAGTTGTGTTATAAGCTGTATAAGCAATACTTAATGGTTATTCAGTGGATTGTATGTGTTCAGTGATTATGTAAGGTTTGAATTAAGTCAGGTAGTGAAAGAGTTTCATCTATGGAGTATAAATTAAAAAAAACGTAGAAACTATAAAGAATTTAAGGGGCAGCAGAGAGAACGGGAGAAAGAGAAAAGGGAGGCATTGGGAGTGTCGGCATAGGTGGTTTAGTGGAGGGTGAGTGGGACATGCATGCAAGAGTAAAAACAACCCAAGATTTACAAAAATAAATGAAAAAGACAAGTGATCAATCTCAAGAGACAGGTGGGGGTATGGAGTTTGAGAAAGAAGAAATGGGCAGAATAAAGACCAAAAAGCGTAAGATTGACTGGCTCATCCAGGGTAAAGCCAAGCTGGCTCCATCAGAAGGAGGCAACAGGGAGATGGAGACACAGTGTACAGTGGAAGTTCTCGACCTTTTTGTCCATTGAAATCACTCAAGGAACTTAAAAATACAATGCTGCTTCCACTCCCTACAGGTCAGTTCTGTGGATTCCAGTTGCCCAATTAGCAGAGTCGTTGCATGGCTGCAAGGAAAACTGAAGCTCACAAAGTAACGAGTTTTTTTGTTTGTTTTTTAATGGTTTTATCTATTTCTGCATGGGAGAACTGGGTGCAGAGTGTGAGAGGACTTAACAGGAGGCAGAGTAGGGAGCAGAACAGGCAGATATACTGAAACACTGCTGAGGGAGCAACCGGTGGGACAGAAGAGGTCTGAACCATTGTGTGCAGCAGGAGACTGAATTTAGCGCAGCAGTAGCTGTGGACAGCCCCACCATGCTGTGCACCACCACAGAGGGCTAGTAATGAGTTTGCTACAATCTTTGAGTACAACTGAAGGTCTTAGAACTGCATCACTTAATGAATGGTTTGGCGTAATGTCCAGCTACCTCCAGTGTTAAAACTTGAGAAAGGCATGAGAGCTAGACTTACCTGCCACTGAGTGCACCAGGGTTGCCTTAAGATTGTTTATGCAACTAATTCTGAGCCTGGTGCAGAACTTGCTGAATGTCAAACTGGGCACAATGGCTGTGGTTAAAAAAAAAATAAAAAATGGAGAAAACAAGAGATTCATACTAGAAGTTTTCACAATATAATTTTGACAGTGGGATACAAAAGAATGAAGAGATAAAGGTTGATGTAAATATGAGGGAATCTGAATAAAATGGCCAGAAGCCACTTAGAGGATTATTTCCCTCCCTTTCAGCTCATTATCTTCCTGGCTTCAGTGTTCTACAAGGTGAGCAATCCTGGGCTGCAAATATGATGATCTAGAAGACCCCTCCTACACACTGATGGACAGCTACACAGTTTCCTTTGGAAGGAATTCAGACAGTGGCTGAACATTCCTAGACATCGGAGAACAGGAAAAGACCCTCATCTCAAAACAGGTAGAAAAACTGAGTCACAGTCCAGAAACCCCACCTCCAGCACTGCTATACTTTTTTTTTTTTTAAGATTGATTATTTATGCATACAAAACTGGGGTACAGGCCAGAGGCTTAGCGGTGGTGAGAGTATTAACCAGAGACAGAGTAAGGAGCAGAACAGGCTGACTGACATAAGTAACACTGCTGAGGGGAACAGCGGGCAGGTCAGGAGAGATGTGCCATGCCCTGTGGGTCACCTCCAGGGCCGGGGATTGAACTCGTGCTGCAGTGACTTTAGCTTCTTAGTGCTGTGCTTTAATCTGCCCACCAGAGGGCCCTCTGCTATACTCTTGGGTGGGGACTCCCAGCTCCTAGAAGGGTGAAGGACTGCCTTGTATCTCAAATCTTGTGCCTAATTTTAAGACTCCCACCCAAGGAAGAAGACTCCAAAATAATACTTTAAAAGCTGCTTTTCAGGGCTAGCCTCCTAATTTTGTGCACTTGAGGGTCTGACAGTAACCAATCCCAAGATTTAGGAAAACCAGTGGGCACTACACCTCCCTCTCCCTTTACCACACTACAATCCACCAGTATCTCCCTGGAAGGAGCTGTACCTGTAATGAGCTGTACCTGCCTGAGGAAGTGCCTCTTGATAGCTAAAAGCCTTGCGTTCTTGAGCCCATAGGAAACAAAGTTCTGAGGCATTGTTTACAGTTTATAAAAGAAAAGGTTGCACCTCTTGGTGCAAGTGCCTCTCAGCACTATGAAGCTATCCGCAGTCACTAGCCACTAGCTAGATCCTAACCAGGGAGCTGACCCACTTGGTGCAGCAGACCTCTCCTAACACCCGTTGCTCTCCTTAGCTGTGTATTTAAATCAGTTTGAAATTTAACCCAGGAATCTGCATTTTCAATAAGCACTCCTGTGATTGTGAGGCATGCAATTCCCAGTGGATGTCTTCAGATACCACAATTTAGCCTTATGCTCAGATCTGCTATTTCAGACACTTGCTAGCATCTGGAGTCCCAATTGGTGGGAGGAAGTGCCCTCCATGACCAGCTATTACTTCTGCTCTAGGACTAATCAGTTTTTAATTGGCCAACAGCTGTACAGCGGGATATTCTCACACAATTCAAGGACAGAATGAAGCTCCAGGTTGAGTAAGCTGGCACAGTGTTATTTCCAGAGGGCATCTAGCCAAAGGGGTTCTCATGTCCCATTCTAATGATCCCAGCTGTTGACTGTCCTATGAACTAGGAAAATGAGTAAAAGAGCCAATGGGTGGAAAATAAGCATATCAACAAGAATAATCAAAACAACAATGGACTCTCTATTGAATAAATTTAGCTTAGTGGTTGAGCGCATGGGATCGGAATTAGAGAACTGTGGACATACTATCAGCTCTGCCTCTTAACTAGACACCAGTTTGTTTTCTCTGAGGTATGGTTCGAGAAGACATTCCCCCATCTTCTGTTTCCAGAATATTTTTTCTATTCATGTATATCACAAGGTAGTTATTTATCTGCTTGTCTTTTTCTTGACGACCAGACTGAACTTTTGTCTGTAACCTCCGCACAGTGCTTAGTACGATGAGGCATTCTGCATCAGGGTGTGTGTATTTTTATACATGAGCATTACCGATGTTAAAGACAAAAGTAGCTCAACAAGCCAATGTTTGCAGATTAGTCTTGGGACTAGATTATGAAATTTTACCATTTTAAAAGGCCCATTCTCTTGCCTTAACTAGCAAGAAAAACTAAATGAGTATAATTTACCTGATAGTCTCCATTTCCCAGGGGATAAGGCATGTTCCACGGCACACTTAACTACTTGTGCCTTCTAAGACCACCACAGACGTCTCCTGCTCCACCTGCAAAAAGCCCACCGCTTCCTACGCCTTTGTTCTTAGAAAGATGGCTCAGAGTCCACCTACCAGAAGTGGTTGAATAAGAACAAATAAAGGCTCCAGATTCAGGTGATACATTGACCTGTTTGGAAGAGAGTCCTTCAGTGCTTAAATTTGTGGTAAAATACAGAAATCCCCACAATCATTCCTGGGATGAAGTTTTGTGTTCCGGGAAACTGCCAGTTTGTTGAGGAATATGATTTCACATGACCTGATGTGAAGAAAGCAGGAAAGACTGCTGAAATGCCGTAATTTGGAAAACCTAAGGACTGTAGAACAGATGATGCTAAGAAGGACAAATACTAGTCCTGCTGTCTGTAGAAAGTCCAGCAAGATAGTCAGCTTAGGAGTTCTACTGAGGCTTCCAGAGAGGCAGGAGGGTATGTGGGAGAAAGGGTAAAGGGCGCAAAGACTCTGGTGCCTTGCCTGTTGCGGTGGGTCACATATACCTGAGGAAGTGGGACCCTCTTTCTGAATGATAGCTTTGTAGACAGATGTTATACTGAGATCTCTGCATTGATCTGTTGATATTTCATAATCTAAACTATCCTGAAAATACACTGATGCCATAATACAGGCCTATTTTAATGACTCAATTGGGAACTAGAACCACAATTTCCTTGTCCCCAGACATGTTCTTTTACTAGACATGTTCCTTTACTATACAAATTAAAATCTGATAAGGGACAAAGTTTCTTTTTATTTTTTTAAGATTTTTATTTACTTATGCATACAGAACTGGGGTACAGGCCAGAGGTGCAGGGGCAGCGACAGGATTCACCAGAAACAGGGAGCAGAACAGGCAGATCAACAAAGTACACTGCTGAGAGGAAAAGCAGGCGAGACAAGAGAGGTTTGCCATGCCAAATGGGTCACCTCCGGGGCTGGGATGGAACTCACACTGAAGCAGCTACAGTGTGGCTTAGCTTCACAGTGCAGTGCTCCAACCCACAGTAGCACCAGGGAGGGCCGAAGACAAAGTTTCTAATGTACCATTTACCACCTATATGATTCCAAAAACCTGTCCGTGAAAGACCCAGCACACATGGGATCTCTGTTAAAGCTCTGGCAGTGTAGGTTGGTTGGAAGCAGGTGTGAAGACTGAATTCCCTAGCATACCCCACATGTGACAAAGCTGAAATGTCTCTAGAACTAGAGTACTAGCAGAGGGATTGCCAACCAGCCGTAGAGGGGAGCATGAATTTACCAGAGTCCAAAGCCTGGCCCTCAGGCGTATCCAGTTTGGTCAACAAACCCAAAAGCATAATCATTGCTCTGGATCTAACTTGGAGTATCCAGCTCAAGTTAACTTAAAGCAAAATCTTATTTGTTAGTGCAGGGTAAGAAATATCACTGCCACATGGCTCACAATTCTGTTGGCTTGATCCATCAAAGCATTCTCACAGCTGTGTCAACTGGTCACTTCTCCAGTCTGGAAACATATTCCTGAACTGGTTTCTGGGATATTTTGACCACCCTCTTGACCATTTATTTGTTTTTCCTTCCTCACTAGAAATTCATCCTCAGATTCCATTGTTGATTCTTCTTCATCTTCTTAACCTTCGATTGGAAGGCCCCCAAAGCTGTCCTTGAAATTCTCTTCTATCTGCACATTCCTCTGATAATTTCTTCCAGTCTCATGACTCTTAAATAGCCTCCATATGCTGGTAACTCTCAACCTTGTATTCCAGCT